TTCTCCTTTAACGAGTTTGAGCTGAGCTAGAAAATCAGCGGCTCGTCCGGCTTGGCTCGAACTCGAACTCACCTCCTCCTTTAACGGGCCGAGTTCGTTTAGCCAAAAACTCGGCGCGGCTCGGCTCGGCTCAAAAACAGTCCTAGGAGGGGCATTAGTCAATCCAAATGGCATGACCAAGAACTCATAATGCCCCTAATGAGTGCGAAAGGCTGTTTTGGGAACATCTTCCTCTCTCACCCTAATCTGGTGATAACCTGATTTCAAATCTAGCTTAGTAAAAATTGTTGCCTTAATTAGCTCATCTAGAAGTTTGTCTATTGAGGGAATAGGAAACTTGTCTGGTATGGTGAGGTTGTTGATTGCCCGATAATCGACACAAAAACGCCAGTTGCCATTCTTCTTCTTTACCAGCAACACAGGACTGACAAAAGGGTTGGTACTTGGTTGGATAATTCCTGCCACCAGTATCTCACCAACCAATCACTCGATTTCATTCTTTTGGAAGTAGGGGTATTTGTGGGGTTGAATGTTTGGAGGTTTGGCGGCATCTTGTAAAACTATGGCATGGTCAATAGGTCTTTTAGGGGGTAGTTTGGTAGGCTATTCGAACAAGTGTCTAAATTTATCCACTATAGCAGCAGCTCTCGGTTCCATGGCTCCTCTTTTTCTTCTCCCTTACTTTCTATGGAATAGAACTCAACCACATACCCAGTGTCCTCACTTTGCAATGACTTAAGCATAGCCTTAAGGGAGACTACTATCCTGACTAGAGAGGGATCTCCTTGCAAAATTATCTTCTTCCCTTCACTGACAAAAGCCATTGTCAGATTTTTCTATTTAGAGCACACATCCCCTAGGGTGCTTAACCAAGAAATATCTAACACCACATCAACCCCTCTAGATCAAATGGAAAGAAATCCTGCTTTAATTCGACCTCCTGGATCCTCAAACTCACTTCGCTACAAATGCCCTCTCCTCTGACCATAAACTCATTATCTACCATAACCCCAAACGACTTTCCCTTCTCAACTTCCAGTCCCAACTTTCGCAGCAAATCGTGCGAAATAAAGTTGTGGGAAGCTCCACTATCCACAAGAACAATCACCTCAATTCCAATCATACCTCTAAGTTTTAGAGTTTTGTTTGTAGTCATACCCACAATAGAATTCATTGATAAGGCGAGAGGGTTACCTTTTTCGGGAGATTCAGTGATGGGTTCAGGGTTGGTTGCTTCTTTTTCCAACTCGTCGTTGTCGATCACCGACAGAATCTAGAGCAACTTGCTTTTACATCTATGGTTTGGTCCAAATTTTTCGTCGCACCAAAAACACAGACCTCTGTCTCTCTTGTGCTGTAGCTTGGTGTCAGTCATTTGTCAGAAATTCTCACCGCAAAAACTAGGCGTAGCTGTTTCTACGGGTCGTTCTCGTTTGTCTTGAAATCGATTTGGGAAAAAATTTTGACCTACCTCTGGATTTCACAGAGAATGAACCCGTGTATTTGGCGCACGGGTTTTGGACTTGGGGTGACCCAAGTATAATTATCCTACCTGTTATGTTGGGCCTTGAAAAACCTGGGTCGATTCTTCTCTAAAACCCAATTCTTTTCTTCCGCCCGAAGGGCCTAATTCATTAGCACAAACAGTGAAATAGGCTGAGTCAAACGCATCTTAGCCCTTATTTCTTCTTTTGGCCCATTCATGAAGATCCCCATTAGGAGGTCTTCTTCTACCTTGCGTAAGGGTGCCGCATGCTCCTCAAAACTTTCTTTGTATTCTGTAACTACTAGTTTGCTTTAGAGCCACCAGAGCTTTGTACGCTGACGCTTTGAAGGATGTCTCGAATCTCTCAACCACGGCAGCTTTTAAGGCTTCCCACAAACTGATTGACACTCTCGACTCCACCCATTGATACCAGTTCAAGGCGTGACCCTCCATACAGACGACAGCACATTCCACCTTATCTTCAGCCTCATAATGGTTCATCGTAAAATATCGGTCAGCCCTGAAAGTCCAGCCGTATGGATCTTCCCCATTAAACACTAGTAGCTCTAGTTTCTTAATCCTCCTCTCATCCTTCGAATTTTTGGCTCCTTTGGTCTGATCAACCACCCCACTGTCACCATTGTTTGAGTGCTCAATGTTGGATGTTTTTCCCTCATCACGACTCATGCTCGCATCCCTTTCCTCCTTCAACCTCATCCATTCACAAAGCGTAAGGAGGTAACCCTTGATGCTTCCTAGTTCTTCCCTCACATTCCCCATTTCCTTCTCCACGTTTCCCATCTCCTTCTCCAATCCATCAACTTTGTTTTCCACTTTCGATTTAACCATCCCCCAAACCAAGCTCTGATACCAATTTGATGGGAACCCCTGTCAAATTAGAACAAATCCAACCACAAACAATCCAAAAAGGAAAAAGAAAGGACAACTCAAATATGGAATTAAACAATATTATATTGAATAAGAGAATTGTTAACAAGAATTGGTTTCAGCAACTAAGCAAAGCTAAGAACAGATAATTCCCACCAGTTCGAGAAGCTAGGGACCTCCCTTAATGACCTTTGTAAAAATATGCTTAACCTCTCCCTAAACGCACCTCCCTTTATATTGTAATCCCCTCAACTAAAATATTCCTTCTATTAACAACTTGATTCCCCTACACGTTAATATTACCCAACCAACTCCCACTAGCACACATGCACCTCACACACCCATCACCCTACTGCCCTTATGCCCTTTATATTGATAGACTTTACTTATGGGAGGCCTATCACAATGCAAGTTCAAAAAGAAAAACTCATCACCTAAGGCAAAACACCGAGAAAGATATAGAATATCACCGCTTAATAAAGTTCAGCAAGACAAATAAGACAATGAAATCCACCAAAGAGATAAAAACTATAAAGAAAATATCAATTTTAAGAACTGAAGTTCTGTTGTTTTAATAATCATTTGCTTCTCTTGATTTACAACACTAAAATACCATACAATGAACTTGACACGACCCTATCAGCGTAAGCAATCTCCTAGGCTTTGAAATTAATGATATCTTTGACTCTGATTTAAAATATAAGTCAAAATGATATTTGACATATTTGACCCTTTGACTCGGAACTGTAAAATAAACGTAATGAATATACACTCTACTGTATTATTAGCTTAAAAGGATACATATTTATATACACTTGTAGTGTTCTAAACTAGGTAGGTGATCAATCTAAATTAGGATAGTAGTGATCCCTATAATCAAGGATTTTAATGTGATCCCTATCATTTAGGAAGTCATGTACATCTGTAACAGGAACTAAGTACAAGTTATAAGGCTCATTAATGAATTAAAAAGGTAACAAAAGTAACAATAAAAGAGATGAATATTTAAAGTCTTTTGCAGCTTCATCATGAATTTGACCCACATAAACAAGTGGCCATAACTCTACTCTAGAATACCCTAAATGTAACGTTGTAAATACATTGGAAAGTTGATTGAAAGAACTTTCCAATGATATATGGTTTGAATATTAATTCGTTTCACATTGATATTAATTTTATTATAAAATTACCCTTGAAAAAAACATTGTTACACAATTGTACAGTGTAAGAATTTGAAGCCTAGTTGACTACACATTCATATCTAAGCATTGGAAAATTCCTATGGCAAGCTTCCCCGGTTGAAACAGAGTCGATCTTGAGTCTTGCATACTGCTCTCAACATGGTAAGGACTAAGATCATAAACATTGAGATTTGTTGAGACATTGTGGCTATCAAGACACTCAATTTTGTAGGCATTCTTGCTAATGCTTTTCAGTTCTTTGAATGGACTATCAAACAAGATTTAAGTTTGGCACACTAGGTCCTCTGTAAATTTAACCTGCCTTTTGTGCTTGTTTGAAAAAATTTTGGCTTCTCCTTTTACTGGAGAATCTTTTTCACGAACTTGCTCATCCAACTTCTTGATGCTCTTGGCTCATTTTTTCAACATTTGAACTAATACGTTGCATAGTTGAAAGAGGAGCCGAGTCCAAAGGACAAATTGGATTTCAAGGGCAAACAACTTGAACTGGATTATGTCCAACAATTTGACTAGAATTACAATTGTAAGCATATTCAAGTTTGAGACATAATCAAATCTGATTATTGAATATTCCACTCACATAACTCTTTAGAAAGTTTTCCAAAATTTGAGTAACAACTTCAATATGATCATCTATTTGAGGATGTTTAGTTAAACTAAAATTAAGATTAGTGTCAAGTTTTCTCCAATGGTTTTAAGATGCCTTGTAATTTCACTGTCTCCCAGAAATACTAGTTAGCCGCATGAAAAATATCTAAGCTTTTGTTACATGGAAGAAAATGAGCCATTTTGAGAACTTATCAGCAACCACCATGACAAAATCTTTGTTTCTTCAGAGTTCTTATAAAATGATGCCAAGTAGATTCATTTACATTGAATCTAGACCTTTTAGCGAGAATTGATCATTATTTCATCTAAAAACTCCAAATGCTAAAAAGACCTTTTAGTGAGTGATCATAATTTCTTCTAATCTAGACATGTTTGAATTTTAATTTATTCAACATTACTCTTGAAAATAGTTTTGGCACAATTTTATGTTGTGTAAAAATCTGAAGTCCATTAAAATGTGCATTCGTATCCATGTAAAGTACTCCTATGTTAATATGCAAGGGTATAGAGTTTGGGTTTTGGGATTAGACTTGAGCTTAGTAACTTGCACAATTTATTTGTTTTCTTAGTAACTTCCTTTGGTGTAGTAGGTATGCAAAGTTTTATCAATCCATATAAATTTGGTATATAATTGCATGACTATTTTGATATGTTATTTTGTTCTCATATTTGGTTTTGTTTTGGTTTTGGAGCGAAATTATTAGCATCTGGTATATAAGAGTATATTGATTTCACAAAAAGCTAGTGCTACAAGTAGTTTCCTCCATTTTGCTTTTGATTTGATACCCTTAAATTACACTCAACCAGATTCTATCCTCATATTGCAGGTTGATTGGTTATACTATATTGCTTTTGCGATTGTGGTTGTTGGACTCGTCATTTATTCAACAACGTGAGCCTCTAATTCTTGGCAATTTTAACTTGTTCAGATCTCTTAATAGTTCATGTGATCTTTTAACTTTTGAATTTAGACAAAAACCTTGAATAAAATCTTAATCTATAGTTTGGTGCAAAACTTTCATTGAATATGTCGGCAAACACTCAACTCTGTTATAAAAGTACTAGTTCTGCAACAACCAATACTTATGTTGCTTCGTGCCTCTTATAACAGTGATAAGGATCCCGTTCCTATACCAGCTCTTGAAAATGGAAGCCACAATGTGCAATATCAGATGCTTGATGGTGAAAATGTGGCATCAAGAGATGAATTATCAGGATAGTCTGTAAGTTGTGTAACTTGAATATTCATTCTGATTGTTTTATACTGACAAAAACTTGACACTATCATTTATAATTTTTTTGCAGGTCAAGTTTTTATTCAACATGCAGACAAAAGAGCTTTTGTACTTTATGTTTGATTGTTTCACCCCGAATATTTATCTCTGTTTTAAAAACCGGACCGGCGGGTCCGACCAGGACCTGGCAGCTTCTCCAGTTCGGTTCAGGTCTTAGGAGGGTTTTTGTAATATTTCAAAATTATAAGGGTTAATTTGTAATTTTATCGGGGTGTTTTGGAGATATGTCAAAATATTAGGGATTAATTGGTAATTTTTTGGGCATTTTTGAAATAAATAAAAATTTTAGGGACTAATAAACTTTTTAGGGGAATTTTTGTAATATATTAAAATTTAAGGGATTAATGTGTAATTTAAAAAAAAAAAAATTGTTGCTGATGTCATTGGTCCAACCGGTTGGAACGGTTGAACCGTGACCCGGGCAGCAAAACAGGTTGCTCTCCAGTCCAGGTTTTAAAACAATGATATTTATATTAATAGCCAAGAGAAGATTTAGTTCAAATAAAATTCAGTGAGCAGACCGATTCCTGATAGAAAAGAAGGGCATGAGCATTAGATATTTGGAAATTAAGACTATTTTTTCTATTTGCTATTCCAAAATGTTATGTCATAGAAGTATAGAACCAATCGCCTTTCTGTATAAGTGACTTTTTAATCACATGTATGATGTATGAAACTCTAATGTTTACTACTAACATGTTTTATACATTGTTTTAAAAACCGGATCGGAGGGCAACCCGTTTTGATGGTCGGGTTATGGTTCAATCGGTCCAACCGGTTGGACCGTTGGTTAGATCGGTGACATCATCACACATCATGATGACATCATCACATTTTTTGAAAAACAATTTTTTTTTTAGATTTCTATTTTTCAATAAGACAATAACAACTTCATTACTGTCCAACCTGATTTAAATTTTAAATTCAACAATCTTAACATAATTTAAGTATTTAACAACAATTCAAAATCCAAATTCAAACATGATGTTGTATTTATATATCAAATGACAAAATACATAATAATTAATAACAAAACATTTGATGCAAGTGTTTTCTCTTTGATCCGTCTCCATGTTGATTGAGCTTCACACACTAGTATCAAAATTCATCACCATCATCACCTAATCAGGCATAGTCAGTAAAAGAGTCTTGATCATATCTTTGCCTTGATCATTTATCACCATCATCACCTAATTAGGCAGAGTCAGTAAAAGAGTCTTTTCATGTAGGAGTGTATGCATATCTTTGCCTTGATCATTCCTAATCAAAAGAATCAAATACAAAATATATTGTTAATTGTTTTTATATGGCATATAAATGTAACATAAAACAAAACTTGGCTCTGGTTTTCTGTTTATTCTGCATCTCATATAAAGGCAGTTAACTAGTAAAAGACGTACAAGGGGGTGCTGGGGAAATGAGAAAATATGGTAACTTGGAAAAGCAGTGCATGTTAGTTTGATTGTGCTTATACATTTACTACTTGAGGATTTTGTATGTTTGCATGAAAGAAATATTCATGGTATTTTCAAATAATTTGTTAGTCATAGAAGTATGTGTTTTAAACTTTAATTGTATGCTTGTAAAATGTGTGTAAAATAAGCCAATTAGACAATGGAAACATGGCATAACAAGTTAATAACTTTTATATGTTTCTTGCTGGTCACCGTTTCTAACGACATAGTGTACCAAACCTGAGAATGGTTCATTTTAATTGATATACAATATTTTCCATTTATTGGCAAAATGTATACTTCTTACAGATATACATCAAATTTACTGACTCTGCCTCATTCTCTTTTTCTCTAAATGAATTTTCAGTTCAAGTGTGACAAGTCAAACTGATTCAACAAACTAAAATATCGCAATAGCACAAATAGTATTATCATCTTAATTTGTGTTTTCCATCAGGTGCATGTATGCTTCTGTCAAGCCAAATTATGTGTTCACAGACGCACACAAAACATTTCAAACTTGTCGTCACTCAAATTTTATAAAATGTTATAACAACAAAAAATCAGGACATCCAACAACAGGCAAGGGTCAAAAACAGCAACTTATGAACAAAAATTCACTGAAGGTAAACAATAGTATTGTTACAATACAACCACAATAGCTCTATAGATTGAGAAATATAAAGGGTGTTAACTTAAATGTAAAGGGAGCGAGGAATGGCATTACTTGGATCGACGAATGGAGCTGTCGCCGTTGATTTCCAGTGAGGGAGGAAGACGTCGTCGATTTTTGGCGAGGGAGGAAGACGTCGTCGTCGATTTCAGATGCGATTTGGGTGGGATTTCAGAGAGAACAGAAGACAGAGCCGAAACCGTGAGAATTTTCGCAAAGATCAGAGTGTTTGCTGAGAAATTTTCATGAGAAAATCTGAGAAAGACTGAAAGAGAAGAAGATGAGATTTGAGAAAGGGTTGCGTGACATTTTTCGCGTATTAGGGATTGTTAAAATGTGGACCGGTTTTTCTGCCGGTTCACTGATATTATCCGGTTTAAAGTGGCTCAATGCATAGTAGCGGTTTTGAGGTTGACTCGAACCGAACACATGACCGGTTCACGGTCCAATCGGTTGGACCGGCCGGGCCAATCCGGTCCGATTTTTAAAACAGTGGTTTTATATCCATCGCAAAAGTCAAAAACTGTGACTTTTAACTTCAATCATCTACCCTATCAAATAATTTTAATAGCTAAAACAAATTTTAATAAAATATACAAACTAATAATTTACTCGAGATATTAAGAAAGAAGAAAATTACTCATGCAACATATTGATGTCAGAGCCATTGTTTTAAAAACCGGACCAGAGGGCAACCCGCTCTGATGCCGGGTCACGGTTCAACCGGTCCAACTGGTTGGACTGGTGATGTCATCACACATCATGATGATGTCAGCACATTTTTAAAAAAACTTTTTAAGGGTGTCTTTGGTGTTAACTTAAATGTAAAGGGATTTTAAGCTATTCTTCACAATCTTAGATAGGACCAGATGTTCAACTAAGCTACTGATAGCCATAAAGTAACATACATGTAAAAATTTGTAGCTACAGTTGATAACTGGTAGTTCTTGAAAGTAACATATGGCATTACTAAATTAACTCTAACTAGTAAGATACAAAAATAAGTCATTAATGAAAACTACAAATGAAGAACAGAGAACAAGATAAATAAATTAAAAAAAAATTGATAGAATTTTCTGCAGATTGCTGTAGTTCGCAAAACTGGTTATCTCCTTGAAGACCAACAGCACACCAGGAGCAGGAAGTCACTCAATTAACCTAATATCAAGGAAACATCAAAAGAAACCACTTCTTAATGTTTTTATCCCAAAAAAGAGAGGAACCCGATGCCATGTGATAATACATATGATAAATAGCAGGGTAAAAAATTCAACATGAGCTATAATCAAGACAGTCGTCACTGTGATAATGCATATGATAAATAGCAGGGTAAAAAATTCAACATGAGCTATAATCAAGACAGTCGTCACTATGATAATGCATATGATAAATAGCAGGGTAAAAAATTCAACATGAGCTTAAAACATCCCTACACATATAACGCAAAATGCCACTTGAATGTGCTAAAATAAATATTCCAGATATCAATTGACAAATAATGCTACACTCATTTGATACCACATTATGTATTAATCATCAGAGGCATATATGATGCATAAAAGTCAAAAGGATGAAGTACACGGTCCATAGACTGCTCGTTTGTTCATAGATCCTATATAGGACCTCTTGAATATTTGTAGGATGACATTGCTACAAAAATGAAATTGAAATTACTGATTATTGAAGCTGGATCGAAGAATGGCGTGTTTATTACCTGGATCGAAGAATGGAGCTGTCGTCAATGAATGGAGCTGTCGCCGTAGATTTCCAACGAGGAACGGAGCTGTCGTCGTTGATTTCAGAGAGTTCAGATGCGATTTGGGTGGGATTTCAGAGAGAAATCTTCACAGACAACAGAGACAAAACTGATAAATTTTTGCAGAGAAGAGAGAAGAAGCTGAGAAATTTGCGTAAGAAACTGAGAAAATTTTCGTAAGAAACTGAGAAACATTGAAAGAGATGAACTGAACGCAATGAGAAGGCTACGTGTATTAGGTTTAGGGATTTTTAATTGGACCGGTTTATCAGTCGGTCCGGTTGGATCGGTGGTTCGCTGAAAATATCCGGTTTTTAAACAGTTTAACGCGGTCCATTGCATTATAACGATTTTAGGGTTGACTCGAACTGGACACGTAACCAGTTCCCGGTCCAGCCAATTAGACTGGCCGGTCCGGTCCGGCTTTTAAAACAATGGTCAAAGCTGAAATCTTATATGATGGAGAAAGTAAATAAACATCTTTGGGTTAATATTTAAACTAATTAATAATCATCAATTGAATTGAGAAAATAATTACTTTTAACTTCTTTTCAAATTCTTGGACATCTATTATATATTCATAGGATTGGCTTGTTCTACGTCAATGATTTATAAGGAAAAATAAAATAAAATAAATTATTATAGTCTATCCCAATATTATATTCTTACATAAATAATTTTTTTTATTTATTTGTTGGTGACAAAATATTTTGAACTGGTTTAACTTTAAAATTAAGATGGTTACTATTCTCCACTCCAATAATTCAGAAAATAATTTCAATACTTAAACTAATACGCTTGATTTGGTTTGGATGGGTTTAGGAAAAACTCCAACCTTCCTCGGTCATTCTTAGTAGCATTCAGTCCTCCCTTGGCAGTGTCCACCGTTTTTCTTTGCCCTTGTCCTTCAGTTAAAACGAAACTGTAAGCGTCATTGTATTTGCAAAATTCACTATATATATATGTTACAAAAGTTCTCATAAAAAGCTTTCATAGCATTTTCGTACTGTCGATTGTGACGTAACTTGATCTGACACAAGTAAACCGCCACTCAACATGGAAGTGCAAATCTCATTGTAATTGCGCAATTTATATATACATACCTTAATTTTTTTGGTAAAAGGTTTTCGTAGCGTTTTCCAGTTGTTGATGGTGATGTCACTCGATTTTACGCAAGTAAATCATGTGTTTC